AATAATTTTTCAGGTTTGAAAAGACAAATTCTGGGAATGATTAATTCTCAATTTGAATTTGAGTCGAATGAGTTCTGTTCTTTAATCCGCTTTAATGTTCGTGATTTTTTATATGTCGCAGCCAACTGGTTAAAATAGTCGTTCAATCAAACAGCTAGCCCTTTGACTGAACAACGCCATTCATTCACACGGTTATCCGTTGTTTAGCCGACTTGTTGACTGCAACGTTTAACACTACTACAGCTAGACGACGTTTAGCCAACTGGTTAAATGGCAAATTGACTGGGTTGACTTGTAAAGCTACAAAAATTTCATCTATTCTGGGTAAGGGATGGTTGAAATCTTTAAGATATTTGCTTATCGTCATTTTGAAATTCGCACAAATCCGAATGTCTTTACCATTTGCCTTCATAACAGGTACTAAAGGCGTTCTCCAATTAGAATTGTCCACCTTCTCAATTACACCTTCTTTTTCAACATTTTTTCAGTTCTGTCTCCACCTTTCCCCGAAAAGCAAATGGATGAGCGCCTTAAATATTCAATGGCGTTGTTCAGTCAAAGAGCCTAGCTGTTTGATTGAACGGCTATTTTAACCATTTGGCTGCGACATATATATCCCTACGTAGCAGTGATATGAATCGGATAACAAAAAATGCAAAATCCTCTATAAAATTAATATTCAGTATAAGAAATAAATCTAGAATTTCTTGAGAACTAACTGAAGTAAACTGGCTTGATATGATCAATCGCAGAAGATTATATACATCAGATACGATTAAATAATTGTTCAAGAAATATTTGTCATGTAATATTTTTCCTATTGTAAATAGTGTTTGGGAATGAAAGGTTTTGGTTTTCTACTTCTCCATCTTTATACAAATAAATGTGGGAATCGTCCAAAGAATGGAAGAAAGCAATCTCCAGTTTATTTTTCAACTTTTACAAATAATTGTAAAATTGGAAAACCTGGGTCTGAAAACTGGTAAAATTCAGTTGTTATGAATATTAGGTACATTTTCTTTTTCGTCCTTATTATCATTTCCATATCATATTTAACTTTCTTCAAGATGATTCATCGGAAAGAATCCTTACCGACCCTGCTTAATGTTACGCTAGTTGATAATGAAGTCAGGTTTTAAATGCAACTGAACACGCCACCGCCACAGCCATCTCTTTAACAAGCCGATGTGAGAGAGAAATGGCAACACTGCACGTCATCCCGTATTTGAAAGTCAGATTAATATCATTGAGAATTTAAATAGGTTTTCTGTATTTTATAATACAGATATAACTATATAAGTTTGAAAGATATTTAAATAATTGTTTGCCCTTATGTTTATTGATAACTGTTGTTTTATTGTTGTTTTTTTTTTTTTTTAACCTTAACGAAAATATTTTGGGCAGCATATTATTTTTTGTTACAATCTCTACGAATTTGACTTCTTGTACATGTCAATTGCTAGTTTTTCGTTTGTCAGTGAAGGCCTCCATCCATATTCATGGCTGTGGGACGTTGCCTGTCTCACCGCATGGCTCGTTATGGAAAATCTGCGCTAAGACACGCGTTACCGTTACAAGCCGAACCACAATTGGTCGGTACGAACGGTGAAAAGTTGGAAAGAGTTTTTTTAAGGAAAAAAACACAAGCACTACAGAAAAATCCTTAAGGCGCTCTTAGAGAGGTGCCTGTGCGAAAATAGCGATTCACATTGGATTTGAATCGCTGGAGATCAAAATCATTTAGAAAAACGTTCTTAGGGGGTTTATTCCATATAACCGCAGTTCTCCAGATTAAAGAGTTTTTAAACGGTGAAGTTCGAGGTGTGCTGAGTTAAACCTCAAAACGATGAGCAGCCACAGTGCGTTGCGTATTTCTGATATGTATTGCTCTTGGTGGAATCAAATGTGCCAAGTCACTTGAACACCTCCCGTAAAAGTATCTATAAAATAGAGACAAATCTCTAACCTTTCTTCGATGTTCCAGACTATCAAGGTTGCCAGTGGGCGGAGCTCCAAACATTAGTACTATACTCAAAAGAAGGTCTGATCTGAGATTTATAAAGCATCAAAAGTTGCTGAGGTGTGTACAGTTTTCTGGTTCGGAACAGTGTTCCAAGCTTTTCAGAAGGAGCTTTTGCAATTCTAGCGACATGATTGTGCCAAGACATATTGGTGTCCATTTCAACCCCTAACAAACTCATCGAAGCAGAAAGCGGAATTCTCTGACCTGACATTATTATATCCGGTTCGGAAACATTTATCGTTTTGGAGAAAACCGATGCCTGGGTTTTTGTGGCATTGAATTGAACTTATTCAACTTCACCCCAATTCGAAATTACTTCTAGATCCTCATTAAGATATTCAACCTTCTGCTGTCGGTGAAGATGTGCATCCACAGCCGATGTCCTGAAATCCAAATGTAATGACGAGACAAATGTTCTGTCGTCAGCAAAGCAATATATTGGATTCTTGGTTTTTTCCAATAAGTCGTTGATATACAATAAAAAGAGGGTTGGAGACAATATGGATCCCTGGGGAATACCAGCGTTGATGGTGAAAGTATTCGAGAGATATCCATCGACGGGGCCACTTGTAGGGAACTTTCTTTCAGGAAGCTGAAGAGCCATACACAAAAGTGATCCGAAAAGCCATAGCATCGAAGTTCTGTCAGCAACCAGAAAACTCTCATGACTCACACGGTGGTCAAAGGCCTTAGAAATATCAAGCGCAACAGCTTTAGACTCTCCATGTTTCTCGATTGCGTTATTCCAAATATGGATGACATACGATAAAATGTCGCGTATTGATCTTTGTTTCCGAAAGTCATTTTGATGATCGCTTAAGATGTTGAAGCCTTCCAAATATTTTAGAATATAGTGATTTACGGTTTTTTCCATGATTTTTTATATCACTGATAGCAAAGCGGACTGGCCTATAGTTATTTGGAAGAATTTTCTTGCTCTTTTTGGAAATAGGCTGAACGTGAGCAATCTTCCAACAAGAAGGAAAAACCACTTTCTTGTAGGACAGGTTGAAAAGTCTTCAAAATAGTGGTGCGAGTTCATTTGCGCACTTTTTAAGTACGATGACAGGCACTTCAAGGACCAGATGCCCTGTTGATATTGAGCTGTTTCAAAATTCGCCTGACTAGACGCTGTTGAAAAGTAATTTCTGGCATTGTGGATTTCACTGTGGGAGTAGTGGGTGGTGTTTTCCCAGAAATCTGACTGTGGAGTGGGACGCAAATTGTTCAGCTAGTAGATTTGATTTTTCCATGGCTGTTGTTGCAGTTGAACCATCCGTTTGTGTTAGTTGTATATAGTTTCGTACCTTGCTCAGTACGGAATAATCTATACGGCCAAAACTCGAAATAATTACGGAAGCAAACCCTGTCATTTTGTAACGAGCCGAACATGTTGGGTATCACATTACAGGTTTCTGGTTCATCTGGATACGCGACTAGAGAATATGCTAAATTTTAAGATACTTAATTGTAAAAATTATATAATCAGTACTTTTTAAGTTTGAAATTTACAATGCCAAATTTTTTTTAGTGAAAATTGGTCCAACAAGGCTTCTACTGAAGTTACCGTTAATGCATTTCTTAATTTTGTTAAGAGAATAGTTTTTCTCCAATTAATCTCTCATTGACTTTTTAATGTACATATTTTTATCATTGATGATCGAAGTAAGGAAGCCAATGGCTTATTTGTTTGTAGTGTTAATATTTTCAAAATCGTGTTGTAAATTTCAGTAAGGAAATTGGAAGATCTTGGAAATTATAAATTTATTTTGTATTCATTGTATATGTATTTTATCTTTTTATGAATGAGTTCATATACTCTGATATTTTGGAAACAATGGCATGTATTTAGTTTTATTATCGACGAATATACAAAAATCAGTAAACTCCTCTGCTTCATGCTTACACCCTATCCTTCAATTGTAATAATTGCTCTTGCCAGTAGACTTGAACATAGGCAGTATATAGTCTGACTATTTGAAACTACATATGAAATGTAGACGATTTCTAATTTTAAAATTTTTTTCTACAGCTGCCAAAGTTAATACAGATGTAGATTTAGGGCCGTTACCTGAAGGATGGGAGCAGGCACAAACTCCCGAAGGGGAAATCTATTTCATTAATCATCAAACACGTACGACCTCGTGGTTTGATCCTCGAATTCGTAAGTTCATTCTTAACTTTTGATAACCACAGTAAAAGTATCTTGCACCCCAAGTTGAGAAAGTGATCATCATGCATCATGCTTTGTTGTTAGAACATACAGGTTTGAGGGACGGGCATTCAGTTGCCAAATAAAGAAGGCGATTTGTCACTGCTTACAGCAAAGGTATGTATATAGGATGTTTCATCAATATCTTTTAGGAGTAAAGTTTTTTTAAAAACAACCTCTTGAGAACTGCCGGGAACAGAACAAATTCAAAAATACGTCAAGTTTGTTCGTAAGGGTAGTAAGTTTTGTCGCAATAACCAGTGCAAAACCTTCAACCCTCTAAACAGGAGTGCCATCATCTCCTGGGGTCGAGTGATACCTCATTGAAGGGTTCTCCTTTTCCTTTTGACAATTGGTACCTTCTTTTTAAAAGCAATGGAACTTTGAAATGCCAACAAAACATTTTCTAGTATTGCAAAACTTGAATCTATTTCAAATAAAAACCTGTCGTATTGGTCTTAATGTATAAAATTAACTTCATCGGACCGATTTGCAGTTTTTGCAGACATAATTTAATAATACTAATAATAAATGGTATTTATTTCACGTTGCGGAGTTTAGGAAGGCGCTATTCTTTCACTCAACCACGTTTGAAACAAAAACACAAAAAATGACATAATATAAAAAATAATTTCAGGACAATAGTAAAATAAATACAAATGTTTATAAATCTGAAGAAATTAACTTTAAACGTTTAAGCCAATATCGAATATACCTACACGGTAGGTTGAATGGACTGACGCCTATCAGAAAACAACTACTCCTCTGGCTAATACCACGAAGGACGTTGGATTATATCCGACAGGCGTCAGTGCAGGAATCTTCACAGAAAATGTCCTGCCTATGCAATTGGCAATACAACTGAAATAGTCAACCTTCACTTTTGGGACGGGCACAAACGTTTATGTTCAGATCACTGTTCAATTTCAAGTTTACTTTACTTCAGAAAAACTTTGCCTAACTAAAGTTGCTTTAAATTAGTCAATCTATTCATTTCCGGGCTTATTTTTAATAAAACATTTTTCACTCTCTAGAAGGAGTGGCATCCACTCCCAGAATAAAAGCAACTTCCGATACAGGGTCAAGAGTAAATTAAAATTTTTATGAACATCGGTGCTATTTGGCAAAATTATACGGGAAAAGATCATTGTTTGGACTAAATATGGAAACCTAAAAACCAAGAATATACTTATATAATTTGTGGAATTTTGTGATTCCATATGAGCCTTTCGAAAAAATCCTTTCAGCTTTTCGGCGAAATGTCGCCCATTGTAGTAATTACAAAAACTACAAGACCTTTTAAAAAAATCAACATTCCTGTTCGAGAATAAATCAGTGAATTTTTTCCAGTAATGGACAGTTTTGCATTTAACAGATTAATCATATAGTGAAAACCGTTGATTTTCTAAAACGAATGCGGTTTAGTGCATGATGTTATGAACTTACGGATTGGTCTGGTGGGTTTTTACCGTTGGATTGATCTCTGCGAGTGTGACTAGCTAATGGAAAGATAGATCAAGGAAATATGTGGAATAGGTTAGGTTAGGTCTAAAGTGGGTGGGTCTATTCCACCCTCCACCACAACCCGCAAGGGTTTATTGTGGCTCACACCTATTCACACTCGGACAAATAAACCCAGCTTCTTAACGAAGTCGATTAGTTTGTATGGTGAGTGGTCTTTTAGGTCAGATGGTAAGAGTACGGATCTGTCGAACTCTCAGAACCCGATTCGGTCCCCAGCGGGGCAGGCACGAAGTATATGCTCTGCTGTTTCATCATTTTCCAAACAGAGGCGACACACGCTGTCTGCCGACTGTCCAAGTCTCTGCATATGATGATTCAAATGACAGTGACCTGTAAGAAGGCCTGTTAGACATCGTAGTTCATCCCTACTGTAGTCCAACAACTGTTTGGCCAACTGTGAGCCAATCCTGGAGGATTCTGCCGGAAGTCCATAAATCTTCTTGCCATCCAGATGTTCAATGTTTGTTTGGCAAAGTCTAAAGCGATGCCAACGACAGGTTCTGGTCCGATGAAACTGCTTGCAGCACCCTTCTTTGCAAGAGAGTCAGCAGCTTCATTACCTTCCAGGCCAGTATGGCCAGGAATCCAGACCAGAGGCAATTTGTTAAGTCTTCCTATCGAGGAGAGTCGTTTTTGGCAATTTGCTACCAATTTAAAAGTTGCACGGTAGGAGCCAAGAGCTTTCAACGCCGCTTAACTGTCCGAGAATATTTTTATTGACTTGTGTGTGAAGTTGGATTTATCCAATCTCTCCGCACACAATTCAATAGCGTAAATTTCCGCTTGAAATACAGTCGCATGAGTTCCTAGACAGGTAGATATCTCTGTCCTGGGTCTGCGACTAAAAACACCTGCACCAGAATCGGAAGGTGTTTTTGATCCATCTGTGAACCAACAACTATCTGCTCTTAATGTTTCCTTCTCCCGGAGGATCCAGTCCTCTCTACTCGGGAATAGTACTTTATAAGGCAGTTCGTAGTTGACAGTTGGAGGCATAAAGACAGAGGTCATTTCCAGAATGATGTGACTTCCAGTGTCAACCAACAGTCTGTTGCACTCTGCATTACATTGATTTGTGTAATTGGCAATGTGCACAAGTAATAATAATAATAATAATAATCGTCTTCATTGTTACCTAGCTGTAGTTACATACAAATATTTAAATAAATTAGAGAGCTAGTTGCTGACATAACAAAAGGCGAAGTTCAACTCAGTTAGCACAAGTGCTACTGGGTTGTTCTTCCACTCAACCTCAATCAGTCTGTATGCAGTCCATCTAGTAGATCTAGAAGGATCTCGATGGCCGCTGACAGTGTGGTACTTATGACACCACTAATAGCCAGACAGGCCTGTCTCTGTAAGCCAGAGAGCTTCGCTTGGGCCGTTTTCTGTAAAGCCTTCGGCCACCAAGCAACTGCACCATAAGTGATCATTGGTCTGATAATCATCACATAAATCAAATGGATTCATTTAGGACCTAAACCCCAAGTTTTACCACAAACTTTTCGACATGTCCATTAGAGACAGTCGGGTTTATGTAAAACTTTTTCCAAGTGAGCGTTCCAGGTGAGTCTTTTATCAAGGACAATGCAAAGATATTTCACCTCCGTTCCAAATGGAATGACCTCACCATTGAGGGAAATTGGCGTTAGATCGTCCAATTTTCTCCTTTTGGTGAAGGGGATTAACACAGTTTTGCTGGGGTTGACAGACATCTGCTCCCTCGGGCACCAACTGTGAACAACGTCCAACGTGCTTTGGAGGATATTACAAGCTACCCTTCCCGACGTGGACTTTGCCAGGATGACAAGGTCATCTGCATAAGCTTACAGATCAACTTTTCTTCTGTCATGGGCATCAAGCAGATTATCCACCAGGAGCGACCACAGAAGGGGAGATAGTACCCCACCTTGAGGGCATCCCCTGATGACCCTGAACCTGATGGCCTCGCCTTGAAGAGTCGTAGTTGCAGTTCTGTTTACTAACATGGCATAGATCCAGCCAGTTATGGTCGATTCTATACCCTTCCTAGCCAGAGACAATCCTATAGATTTAGGTAGTGCCTTGTCAAATGCTCCTTCAATATCAAGAAATACACCAACCGCAATCTTCTTGTTATCAAGGGATTGGGAGATTTTCTCAACGAGGTTGTTTAATGCCAAATCTGTCGATTTGCCGGTCTGATAAGCATACTGGTGGTTATTCAGGGGGGATTCATATAAAGCTACCCTCTTGATATGTCCGTCCAGTATCCTCTCAAGTCCTTTCAGCAGGAAGGATGTAAGGCTGATGGGTCGTATCGATTTAGGGTGTGGGTCTCTCCATATGAGGTATCACCATCATTTAACAATGGTTGTTGGATCAGAATTTGCCCTGCTTTCACTTGATTTACAGCGAAATCTGCGAGTCTAAAGTGGGACTAAGGTTTTAATGTCTGCTCATGGTAATAGAACACATTCTTACCTTGAATAGAGGTGATGAAACAATTACCTATTATTTTCATTCCAATTAAAAAGCGTACACAGCGTGCACAGTTTGTCCCCAAACAAGATCGCTGTAAAAATAGAATCTATATCTCGATAGCTTGGCAAAAAAATGAAATTTTAGAATGTTTACCTTTGATACAGATACTCCTGCAAACTCATAAACAATATAACTCCAAGACATCAACTGTTATCTGCAATATATGCGAGTCATTTTATGGCTTCCATTCACAAGAGTTATCGAACTTTTATCGGTAATGGGTAATTAGTCATATCATGAAATCCGATAGTGTAACAATATTGTTGTAAAGTCGAATGAAATGAAATTTGCCGACAAAGACATTGTTTCATTTTAATTTTTTCATTAACATTTCACGTGGGCTGATTGAATGTATTTTCGGTGTTGCCAAACCCGTTTATTTCTAAGTGGGATCTCATAATGACCTACCGCAAATGATATTTTTAAAATATGATAGAATTGGTGGCCGATATTCGATAATATATTTAAGTAAAACTTCAGACGTGTTATTGATAACTGAATTCTAAATAGTGTTCCTGAAATAGGCAGGTAATGAGCCATAATTAAATCTGATTTTGGTACTGGGTTTTCTCTGCTATTTCCAGTTTTTTCTGTATGTATTACAACCATACATTGAAAATAAATTTTATTATCCTGGCATTTTTCGTAATTCGATGACTTTTAAACAGCTTCTATTTGAATTTGGGAAAAAGCATTTTGGCTTTCACTTCTCTATCTTTATACACAAAATCTGGGAGAAGGCAATTGAGTTCAAAATGAACTCTTTATCAAGATGTGTAGATCAGACATAAACTGACTTCACAGTTGACTTCTCATAAGAACTCAATATTCAATAATTTGAAGATGGATTATACATCGTCTTCAATGAGCCAACGCAGATACGCAAATACGAGTGTAGGCGA